GCTTTAATCCTAGGTGTCTAACCTTGACTTAGTGTTTATTGTCAAAACATTTAACTTTGTTTATGTCTCTGCCCACAGGTTGAGTGCAAGTGAGGATGAAGATGTCACATGTCAGGGTAGTATTCTCAGCAATAGCAGGAGTCATGGCCATCTTGTTGCACTTCTCTATTCACAAGATAGAGGAAGGACACCTTGCTGTGTACTACAGGTATCCTTAAGAAACCCATATAAGTCTGTGCTAAAATGAGATATAGATATTAGGTGTAAAAATGTCATTTTATTGTATTTTTAGTATTTTATTGGCTCTTAAGAAGCAAAGTATAAAGAGCTTAAGGGGGATAAATTAGGTAAAATCAGAACGAGCTGCTCTTGACGGCGAGCCACGTTTGTCTTCGTAATAGTGCTGTGCATGTAACTGTGTCAGTTCTACACTCGTAGATTAATTTCCTGATTTGATACATTAAATGTGAGCTTCATTCATTCAGACTGTGCACTTTAATTACACGCAATATGTTTGCCGTTTAATTTTTTACAAGTCATTATCCAATAGCTTTCACTTAATGCAAACTAGTTTAGATGTATTGCGCATCTAAATCTACTAAATGGACAAAGTTGCTGTTGCTAAAGAGAATAGATTGACATGCAAACACCCTCGCATGCTAATAATTTGTTTGAATTTGTTTCAGAGGCGGCGCATTGTTGACGGCTCCCAATGGTCCGGGATATCACATTATGCTGCCATTCATTACCACTTATAGAGCAGTGCAGGTAAATTCATATTTCGCCCCTGAAATGTTTGTGGTTATGAAAAGCACATGGCATCTTCTAAAAAATAAGTTGGCTGCAGAGGTGTCAGTCAACCATGACCACAGTAGTTCTAGTTTACACTCACTTAATGCGCTGCTTTGTTCAGCCATATATGTTAGGAGTATAAACATGTTTAAATCTTAGCGTTGTCAACTACTATTCAAAATTAAGAGATTTTTTTTTTACCACCTAAATCCTAAATGGGTCATCAAAGATCTAAAAAAAAAAATTGCTGAATTTTACAGTAGCCCCAAATGTCAGATTTTTTCTTTTAGCCAGTGTTTTTAACCTGTATAGAGATAACAAATACCGACTGAAGTTACATTTTATTACCCGAACTCCACGTTTTACTTTTTATTTCTGATGTTTCAAGCGTTGTTACAGAAATGAGTCTGTTGTCAGATGTTTAAAAAAGATCAAATGTATTTGTATTACTACTTTTTTTTTTTTTTTTTTGCGACGATGCACACGCAGTGCTCATTACAGTTCTAATAGTAATTCTTTTGTACGTGTGTTTTAATATTGTGGTTAACTTTAAAACAATTTCACACACTTTGAAGTTGCTTTCTCAACATCCGCTAACATGCATTTGGGAAAGAAAATGAATAAGATGTTTTTTTATGTATCTGGTTGTTCTGGTTTTTGTTTTAGACAACGCTCCAGACTGATGAGATCAAGAATGTGCCTTGTGGGACAAGGTACAACTAGCTTTACTGAAATAGCTGCTCAAGAACTATCCTGTTCTTTTAAATGGTTATGTATTGAACTCCTTTTGTTTTTCTTTTTTCTCTCTCCGTTCATAGTGGTGGTGTGATGATTTATTTTGACAGGATAGAGGTTGTTAATATGTTGGTCCCTTTGGCAGGTACACGCTCAAATCTGCTTGTTTACAGATGATCTCATTTCATTTACCCTGCATGGTAAGACTATAACAGCCGTTTTGTTTGTTTGCAGTGGTCGATATTGTCAGGAACTACACAGCCGACTATGACAAAACTCTAATTTTTAACAAGATTCATCATGAACTGAACCAGTTCTGCAGTGTGCACACGCTACAGGAGGTCTACATTGAGCTATTTGGTGGGATTTTTTGTTTTCATTTATGTAGCTCCTGTTAATTTAAGTGCCCTAAAATGTGACATAAAATATAATTTAAATTATTATGTTTTAAAAAGATATTATTGATGAAAACTTGAAGACTGCGTTACAGCAAGATCTTAATGCTATGGCACCTGGACTGACAATACAGGTATTTAAACACTCGCACACCCATGTTTGCATGGATTTACAGTTGATTTCTGTTTTATGTGTTCACCCCCCCACCATGTTTCACTGTTTATTGAAGGCAGTTCGTGTTACCAAGCCAAAGATCCCTGAGACTATCAGGAGGAACTTTGAACTCATGTGAGTTAAGAGACGTTTTACTCACCAGCGTAGATTTTAGCGAGTGCTTCAGTTTCTCAGTAAACCTCCCACTCAGTTCAAGTGTTGGTAAGAAAACGAACTGTTTTCTTGAACGTATTTGCTTGTTTTTGCGTCCACAGGGAAGCGGAGAAGACCCGTCTGCTAATAACGGCTCAGACGCAGAAAGTCGTGGAGAAAGAAGCAGAGACTGAAAGAAAGAAAGCCATTATTGGTAAATGTGGAGCTTTGTTCTAAGTCGTAGCCCCGACCCTTTATCCTAAGCCCAAAGGAATGTCGGTGCAACTTAAATCACTACTTTACTTTTTCATTGTTCGTGGTCATTTTCTGTCCCCCAGAGGCTCAGAAAGTTGCTCAAGTTGCAGAGATCCAGTTCAAACAGAAAGTCATGGAGAAAGAGACGGAGAAGAAGATCTCTGAAATCGAAGGTTAGCGGTCTTATTTACCCTCCCCCGCTCTTCTGTGTTGCTTTGTGGTTTGTTAAGTTTGTCATGTGTCTCATTCAACACTGTTCGTTTGTTTTAGACGCTGCCTTTCTGGCCAGAGAGAAGGCTAAGGCTGATGCAGAATTTTACACCGCTGCCAAGTCTGCTGAAGCAAACCGGGTAAAAACACACAACGCTTTTTTAATAACGCAGAATCTGATCTAATCACAATGAAATATGTGAAAATTCAAGCTATGGTTATGATATAATCATAGTTTTAATGTAATCGGTGTTAACATAATAGGAACAGTTAAAACACGAATCATGTGGGCTGTTTTTTAAAGCTTTACTTCCTACTCTTAGAAAATTTGGCTTGAGTTAATACAAAGCTGCTGTAACATTATGAATCAGTTCTTCTGATAGACACAGAGTACCAAAATAATGCAAACTAGAGAAATTGCATTTCCTGCAAAAATGCAGTGTGAATGCAGAACTTGTGGAAAAACAGCTGAAATTAGCTAAAAACATGCTGAAATATAGCTGAAATTGAAGAACAAGCTTAAGTTGGCAGAAGACAGCAGAAAGAACATATTTGCCAAATTAGTTTTAAATAAGCAGAAATTATCTTAAAAATAGCTGAAATTAGCAAAAAATAGCTGAAAAGGCAGAAAGAAGCATAAACTACCAGGAGGTAGTGGAAGGAGCTGAAATGAGCTAAAATAAAAGTGGAATTAGTTGAAAATGCTAAATTTAGCACAACATGTAAAAAGTAGCTTTAAAAGCTGAAAGGAGCTGAAGTTAGCAGAAAGAAGTTCACTTGGGCTGAAAATAGCAGACATTACCAAAAATAACTTGAATTTGTCTGAGAACGGCTTAAATTATCTGAAAAATGCTGAAATGCTTTAAAAAAAGTATCTGAAAAGATAGAATAAGCTTTAATTAGCAGAAGAAAGCAGGAAGAACACGTTTACCCAGTTAGACTGAAAGAAGCAGGAATGAGCACTAAAAGTGAATATTATCTGATAAAAGGTGAAATTAGTAAAAACAGCTGAAAAGTAGTTGTAATGAAAAATTCTAAAAGAAGCTTCAATTACCAGAAGGAAGTGGAGCGAGCACATTTTTGCTGAATTACGGTAGGCTGAAAAAAGTTCAAGGGTTTAAAAAATGTGAAATTCACCAAAAAGCTAAAATTAGCATAAAACAGCTAAATAGTATTTGAAAATGCAGAAAAAGCTGAAAGGAGCATAACAAACTGAAAGACGTAAGAAGAAACACAAACATGTAGTTAGCAGACAAAATCTGAAAGCAGCTCAAAACAGCTGCAATTAGCAGAAAAAGAAGTAAAAACTTTGCACAAGAAAGCTGAAAGAAGCTGAACCAGAACAAAAATGTGAAAGGAGCAGTAAAAGTTTGTAAACAGATCTAAAGTTTTTGAAGGATGTAAAATGAGCTCAGTTAATTTTCTATGAGGAAAAAATGACAGAAGAGCAAAAGCTGAAGTTGCACCAATACCAAAAGTCATAGCACCCTTCTCCTGAACAAGCTGAACGATTTGATGTACGATTAGTTAAAATAGCACAAAAGTTGTGGAACAAGAAAGATGCTGAAAAACGTACGGAAGACAAATGGATCACAATAGTGTGAAAGCTTCATAAGTGCTCACACAATTATATTTAATGAGGCCAGGTGGTGTTGATTAAAAAAAAAAAGCTTTGTATGATTGTTTTCCTTCCACCTAACCAATGCAATGCTCTGATTAATTACAAAAATATTCTTCAGCTGAATCAGATCCTACAGCTGCCGTCAGACACCCTTTATATTTATGACTAATTACTCACTGAGGTGTTCTCTTGATTCTTTGCAGATGAAGTTAACACCAGAGTACCTGGAGCTGATGAAGTACCAGGCCATAGCAGCTAATAGTAAGATCTACTTTGGCCAGGACATTCCCAACATGTTTGTTGAAGGAAACAACGGCCCCTCGAAGCCCATTCCCTCCCCTTCTTTGCCAAACGCGGAAGCGGACTTGCTCAGAAGAAAACCCAACGAGCACTGAGTCTCTGCACAGAACAGGAAAACTCATTCACGATCGGTCTTGTCACGGAAGATGAGTGGGAGGGTAGGTAGCTTTGCAGTTTGAACAGCAAGCTTCAGGTTCTAAATGAAACGTCAAGAGTGAGAAAGTAAATGGGAGAAGTGGGACAAAGAGTTGTTAACCCCTTCTTCATTCTGTGAGGGGAAGCTTGAAGCAACAAGAATGATGCGATGGTTAAAAAAAAAATCAAAACCATAAAAATCGCTTTTGCCTGAGAAGGTGACAAGTAGTCACCCTGATCTTTATGTGCTTTATTAGTGCATCACTTAACTTTGATTTTGGAGCTGCTTTCATTGTTTTTGTTTATGACGAATGATTTGTGATGAAAATGAGGTTCATTAACTTGTTTTGCTGCACTGACAGGTGACACTAATTAAAAGCTGGAAGGTTTATGTAAATGAAAGGGATTCAAATCATCTTTTTGTACCATGTTTGTTTTGCGAGCCAGTCTTTGGCAGCACGTCTGTTAAACTGTTTAATCACATGTCAAACACTGCTCATGAACTTGACCGGTTAACAGGAGCCGCATACAAATTCTTTTTATTTGCAGGCGTCCAGATTTGCGTTGTACATTTAATTGCAGTGGATGAACGAAGTCATGTTGTATAGATTATATTTTGGCAATTTTACAATAAATTGTTAAGATCTTCTGACCCAATTTGGCGTTTACTGTGTTGTACAGGCGCTAACAGGAAGAAAAGTCTGATTCTTTATCCCATATATGCCCGTGTAGGCGAGCACTTCACAGCAATAAGTATATATTTGTTCACCAGATTGAGAAAAGTCGGCATGTCTCTTGCTTAGTCAGGTTTTGATTAACACGGTTGTACATTCACAAGGTCCTGCTTGATTCAGACGATGGAGCTTGTGATTGTCTATTCTTACAGCTTCCTCACATTTAATTCAATGTAAATCCTCAGGAAATCAAACGACAGAAATCACTTCGTAAAGGTGATCTTTTGGAAAATTTAAAATAAACCTACAGATCTATTAGGTGACGGTCAATCTTTAGCTGTCAGTGTGTACTTTTCTTTGTAATTGTAGAAATGACCTGAAGAGGAAATTTTCACTTTATTTGCTAATCATAATTTTAAGGGTTTATTGGCAACTCAAAGCTTCTAATTCCAACATTACTAAAAACTTGGTTCACACTTTTGGTTCATCTTTACTTACAATAATATCTGGCACTTTACATACACTGTTCTTGTTCTTGGCGTTAAAATTAGAAGCAAGTTGGTGCTAGTTTTTATTTTTTATTAAGTTTAAGCTTTTCCAGCTTCGTGCTTCACTAACTGAACTGTTTTCCACTGTTCAGAATTCAAGCCTTAAAGAGTTTTCCCAAACTAAAGACTGAAAACATTTGAACGAAAAAGGCGCCTCTTGGCTTCTAGTTGTCAAAAAACACAAATGGCAGTTGACGTTACAAGTGTCTGGAGATATCGTGCTGTTTACGTTGCACTCTGCACTGCTTTGGTGATGGGTTCAAATAAAGATGCAAGAGAAGGGGTGAATAATTTGTACTATCTGTGAAATGTTCAACACTGTCTCCTTGTTTTAAAAAAAAAAGTTTATATGCAAAAACTGTTTTCCAGGTTTTGACAATGTTCTGTAAAATAAAACCTATTTTGGTACCTCTTCCCTGCTTTGATGTGTGTTGGTTGTGTAGTAATTCTGGGAGCCAGCAGGGGGCGAGCTAACACTGATGGAGTCAAACAAAAGCACTAAAGGCTCACACAGTAGAAATGTAGTTTTAGAAGAAAAAAAATAGATAAGTATGAATTTAAACAAAAAAAATGCTAAGTAAAAAAGTTTAACTATTTATGGACACTACCAGGAAGTCTTTCTTGATGAATGTTTTTTTTTTTTTTAAACAAGTTAAGCTAAACACAAGGGATGAGCCAGGGTTCACACAACTTTGCAATGGAATGATTTTCGGTTCCATCTTTTGTTACCAGCAGACTAAATTCAGCACAAAATATATCGGACAGTGTGAAAGCCATTTTCAAAAAGCATCGGGTTTGTTTTAAAACGGTTACAAATGCTTTTCAAAGTTTGTTCAAGTATGGGACCAAATGAGTTACAGCTTCCTCCCGTGACCTCTGCGGCCCTTTGACTTGTCTGGCATCTTTAACAGCCAAATCATCAGTCTTTGCTTCCTCGGGGAGGGTTTAGCTTTTGTCTAACCCCAGCTGGACTTTTCCTGAAAAATAAATGCACTTCATCTTCAACTCTTTGTTCAACTTTAGATTTTGTGTTTGTTGGCCTGTGGTCATTTCATGGTGATCTAATGATTCAGTGGCTCGGGTCGGGTATCCCTCAGGAAAGTTGAGTTGAAGGCCGGGTTCTGCAGCTTCCTGGCTAAACTCACTTTTCTTTCCTTCCTTTTGTTCCTAATCTTCCCACATAAGCTCAAGCATCTAACCCTGACACTTTCCTGGATGTGTGTCCGCAGACGCACAAGGGCGTGGCCCGTTATCTCTAGAGTAAATCCAGACCCCTTAACGACACGATGCTCTCATCAATAACTGTTCTGTTCTGCAGGGTTTTTTTTTTTTCCGATCTCGTGAGTCAGGGCTACGTTCCTGTAACCTTCAGGGCATCAAGTCATCACTTGAAACAAAAGAACAATTAGGTTGCGGGACTCCGGTTGGAAGAGTGCAAAGAAAAAACAAGTGGTTTTACTTGTCATAAGGAGTGGCACCAAGGCTGTGAAAACTATTTTCCTGCTTAGAAAAGCTGAAGCAGCAGTTCCTACCAGAGGCTGAAAACCTGACTTTTTGTTTAAGGATGCATATCACCCACCACCTTTCATGCCCGGATTGTACACTAAGATGATCTTATGACCAGAAGGAACAGCTCTGACTTGTGATCAAACCTTGTAAATGACGTGAGATTTTGCATGATCTGTTAGTGTTCAGGGCAAGTACTGAGAATGACTGAGTTCCTGTTTCAACAATCTTTATTTAGACATCTCTCAGCTTGGTTGCCACATTTATTCAGAACAGGTTAAAAACTGGAAATTAAGTCACCTCTGGGTTTTTTTTTTCCAACAATTCAATGACCAGGTTTCCTTTGAAATGCCACATGCAAAATTAAATGTATGATTTGGAAAAGAAGTGGAGTGTATAAACCCATACCTGCATTTATTTGGTTGCAAGTGAGTTCACATCAACACCCCACAGACATAAATTAAACACATAAATAAGAATTTGTCTTGGTCAGCTCAGCAATCCGCATGTCCTTCAACTGCAATAGATGCTCCAGCTTCTCCACTTTGGTCTGCAAAATCTACACACACACACAAAAACCTTGAAGGTTACTTTTTCAAGCATTTATGTGGTAAAAGGAGAAGTTGCCCACACGTGTTCTGTTTTTTCTTTTAAGCAGATGTGGCAAAAGATGAAAAAGAAAAAAAAGTTTATATCCGCTGAGCCACCAGTGAGTCAGTGCTCACACTGGGTATGACACACGAGCTGATGTGCAACAGCTTAACCCCTTGTGTGACGAAGCTCTACCCCTCACGGGACACAAAAATCCAAAGACGACCTGGAGTTTACCTTGACAATCTCCTGTAAATCCAGGATGGCTCTGTCTTTTTCGAGGAGGAACTGTCGAAGAAGAGTGGGGTCCCGAACTGTGTAACAAGACTCCAAAACCAGTTTCTGTTTCCTGTAAAATAAAATAAAAAAAAATAAAAACATTTTTATAAATAAAGGGCGAGCACTCCTTCAAGGAATGCATATCGCCCGCCACTTTTCCTGCCAGAGATCAGCTTATATTAAGAAATAATGGGAGTTATAGCATCTGGGTCCAACCATGAAAATGGTTTTATGCTTTTCAATGGTTTTGAAAAACTCATGGGTTATGAGATATTTTTCTAACACATAGACACATACAGGCGAAAACATTATTTTTCACCTTTTGGAAGTAGGCAATAATTATATGACGTTTTATTTTATGTCAAAAGTATTTAAAATAAAATGGTCATACATGGTTTTCTGTATGTTCTCCTCATCAATTTTCATCTTTGCCAGTTGTGCCAGAATTCTTGCTTCAGCTTCATGAATTTCTAAAAAATAAAAATAAAAATACAGATTATTATTCATTATTATTATAAGATTATCCATGCTGCTATACGAATACCCGTCTGTTCACAACAGACTCATGTTCAGGCTGCTGTTCAATATTATATTATTGGTGTTTAGCGTATAGCTTACATCCTTGTATTATGTTTCTTTTTTATAGTTTATATTTTTGCTATTTTTGGATGTAGCTGGGACCTTGAGTACACATTTTCCTTCCACCTCATGCACCACATGTGATGTGAATGACAATAAAGAACCTTGAAATATCATGAAGAATCATGACCTTTCTCCAACCTTACAATGGGAATTGAACACAACAAATCCAGCCCATCTATTGTGCTTTGGTTGGAAACATTCAGATTTATCTACGGGAATAAGATGATTGATGACCACAACCAGAAACAGAGATAACACGGCTGTCTGATAAGAAGTCAGAGAGAAACACAGCAGCTCAGAACACACAATGGAGAGCGTCCGGAAGTTGAGAACTGATTGAAAAAAAGTCCTGAGCTTTGTTTCTGATAGTGGAGGATGCAAAGGAAAAGAAGGGGGGAGGGGTTTTAGAGAACAAAGAAGTGTTGGAAATGGAAGAGACTCATATCACCGAATCACTTCCTTAAAGCAGTGGCATTTCTCATCAGTCTTTTTGTTTGCCTTCACAGATTTTTTTTGTCCGTGTCTTTGTGTGGTCACTGATATCTGAGCTGTTAGCAGGGCTGATGATCTCAGGATGCTCAAGAAAAACAAAACCACATCGACAGCTGCTGTGAAACAGATGACTTTTGCTGACTTGCTGTCTGTCAGCTCATACAAATTAAACATACAGAAAATCTAAAATTGCACACATTTCACTTTTTAAAGCTAACAAAGGCACATTTTGGGCATCGTCATCAAATATTTTCTAAAAATAGGCTACTCAACACAAGCATGCATGTTGCAGAAATTGCTTGTAGTTAGTCAAAATACTGTTGTCATGTGTTGTTGCAATTCAGCTGTTTGAGTTTATGCAATCCATTTCAACTACTTGACTTAAAACAAATTGTTTTTGTCTTTTATAAGGTCAAGTGAAACTAAACTATTGGTCTTTAAATGCTTGAAAATGGGAATGCTAATTGTTTTTGCTTGAAGAGCTAAGTCACCTAAAATGAATTAACATAAATATGGGAAATTATGTGTAAGTAAACACACACAGACACACACACACACACACAC